TATATATTAATCTTTGAGCAATTCTTTAAGAGTACACTTAAGAAATTTGTTCAAAATTTCATGTTTAGTTGATTTCCACATCACAGGATGAAAACTAGAGACATGACAATAACAATTCAAAAGTTATTAAGATGTTTTTTTTTATTTCATTATAATTTTTTATTTATGGATAAGATTGATAGAAGTTAATATGGAAATTTGCTTCGCTTTTTTTCTATGATTTATCTAATAGCGACATTCATACATTCCAACTGGATTCTTTTTTTAGCAAATTTCAATTAAAATTATTATAACTTTATAACTACTAATACATTTAAATAATTTATACATAAATATTGAAGATTTAAGATACCGTTAGCATACCTGCCAACTTTTAATCCCTTCCATTATCATTTTTCCCAGTGGTATTAAAATGGAATTAAAACTTCAATTTTAAGCAAACAAGTACGTTGTTTTTGAGAAAACTTAAGTTAACAACCATGATAGTAACGCATATTAATATATGTGCTTAATTTTTGTAAGAATAGTGGTGATCAAAATCATCTAAAAATTAAGTTTATAAAAGGAAAAATAGTATATATTTACTACCACTTTAAATATGAAAATAAAATCTTCCGGAAAATCCGGAAGAGTTGGCAGGTATGCGTTAGATGTTTCGAACAGTGATCTAAATATAAATTTCATTTTACTACCACTAGATGAAAGCTTCATTGCAGGACATAAAAGTTGACAAGTGCATATGTTACCGTAAATGACTGAAATCAAGAGAATGTCGACTTTCACCGGTGAATGTCAACAATCACATAGTCGCTTTGGTGAATGTCCAAAATATTTGTTACATCCTATTTGATATTAATTTATTCGATATTTTAATATCTGCTGAGGATATATTGGGAGAAACATCAGTGTTCGGAATACCGGTTAAATGCATAGTAGGCAGTGGCACTGAACCTTAAAAAAACGTCAGTGTGGGGTTAACCGGGCAGTGACACTGAACATTAAGAAAACATCAGTGTAGAGCGGGCATACCTGCCAACTTTTCCGGATTTTCCGGAAGATTTTATTTTCATATTTAAAGTGGTAGTAAATATATACTATTTTTTCTTTTATGAACTTAATTTTTAAATGATTTTGATCACCACTATTCTTACAAAAATTAAGCACATATAGTAATATACGTTACTATCATGGTTGTCAACTTAAGTTTTTTCAAATGCAACGTATTTGATTGCTTAAAATTGAAGTTTTAATTCCCTTTTAATACCACTGGGAAAAATGATAATGGAAGGGATTAAGAGTTGGCAGGTATGGTGTAGGGCAGGGGTGGCGAACCTTTATGCACAAACGGGCCATTTTTCCTAAAAAAATTGTTTCTTTCGGTCATAGACGTGCCATCAAACAATTTTGACTTCGTGATTATTGGGAAAATAATAACACTAAATACTATCAACTCAAAACTCTTTATTTACTATGGAAAAGAATACATTTCGCAATGTCTCAGTTATACGCGTAATTCAACTTAAAGTAAGTAATATCAGTGTGACTTCTGTTGTTGCAGATTAGATGAGAAATAACTTATATTAGGTTGTAAGATGTTATTTTAAGCAGGTCTGTTAATTTTTTTTTGTTAGTGATTTATTGTTAGCTTGTTTTTTATGGTAATTAATTGTTTTTTTGGCATTAATTGTAATTTTTTTGTTAATAATTGTTTATTTTTTTATGTTTGTTTTTGTAAATTTTAATTTTATTGGTAAATTACTTCACAGTGAACTTCGTGATCGGTGACGTGCCCAAAATATTACGCGGCGTGCCATAAGTGGCACGCGTGCCATTGGTTCGCCATCCCTGGTGTAGGGTATACCAGGCAAATGTATGCCAGGAAGTGGCCCTTAACTAGACCTAGTAGCCATTTCGGGCATTTATCAAAGCGACTATGTGATTGTCAACATTCACCGGTGAAAATCAACAACCAGCAATTTCGGCCTTTAACAGTAACGATGTACATAATAATTCCGTTGAAAATATTTGTACGTCGTGCTCAAAATATTTTTTAGTAATAGTTGTTAAAATAAGAATCTAATGTATGTGCCTAAGCGTTAACATTACAACATACCTGCCAACTCTTCCGGATTTTCCGGAAGATTTTATTTTCATATTTAAAGTGGTAGTAATTATATACTATTTTTTCTTTTACAATCTTAATTTTTAAATGATATTGATCACCACTATTCTTACAAAAATTAAGCATATATATTAATATGCGTTACTGTCATGGTTGTCAACTTAAGTTTTCTCAAATACAACGTATTTGTTGGCTTAAAATTGAAGTTTTAATTCCATTTTAATACCACTGGGAAAATCAATAATGGAAGGGATTAAAAGTTGGCAGGTATGTTACAATTACTGTACAAAATATTTTTATTTTATACATAGTATTTTCTTTAAATCAGACCGCCTCAAGGAAGCATGATTCCAAATAAAAATATATATTCATTAAAAAATTAATTACCACTTTTTAAAATATAACTAAATTAATATAAATTTTAAATACTTCACTTCGTTAGCTTAATTTTCAATAATGTTTTCTCCTTATTAAAGTATTCTTCAGTGCAAAATATTACTGATAGAGTACTGAAAGGCAAATAGTAAGGAACAAGTTATTTAGACAATTGAAGTACGGGCCTTTTGTACATGTACAGTTCTAATCTATCTAATTATAATTCTATGATCTATCTCCAAACAGCAATTTACGTACAATTTCTAAACAGGATTTATTTTAAAATTCACTTTTGTGAACACTCACTCTTCTGCTATGTAGGGAATGCTAGGAGGATGGAGATAATACATTTCAGTTTACGATGCGATAGATTAAGGTCATATGTTTATTGCTTTGAAAAGTGGACAAGTGAATGTGTGCATACATAAAACTCAACTTTCTCAATAAAATTGTACATTCAGATAAAAAATAAGCTTAGTTAAAAATATCATTTCGAAAAGAAAAAAAACTTTAGTTTTTCGGGACAAAGCTAATTTTAGACTTTAAACCCCCCACATCCGAATCAGATTAGATCAAGTGCTTGTACAAATACAACCATATATTTGTTCTCCAGTATAAACACCAGAAACTAAAAAGGGGTAGAATTCCGATTTCTCTTATCTATAGCTACTATAGTAATTAGAAATAAAGCATTCCCGCTGTAACTCACACTGGTCAGTCAGGGGGGTCATGAAAGTTAAAGCTCTTAATTTTCCTGACCAATGACATGCTTACTGCTTGCCTTAACTTTCCAAACCGTTCTGAAGCTTGGTGCAAGCCATTGCCGGGGATCGAGCCCCCAGTCTTTCCCCTTGTCAGTCTAGTACGTTAACTACTTAGCCAACACAGCTCAAAAGCAGTCTGCAAAAGAGCCGTAGTGCCTAAAGGTATAGAGCGTTCGCCATTCTATGAGGTGAACCGGGTTCGAATCCCAGAGATGGCTGGTCGATACGAATTCCGCACCCAGCTAGCACCGACCACAGTGCCGCCATAAAATATCCTCAGTGGTAGACGGATCATGGGTTAGAGTCTCATTGCTGTTAGGCTAATCGAGGAAGATCTTCGTGATTTTCCACACCATGTAACACAAATGCAGGTTAGTTCCATCTTAAAGTCCTCAACGTAGGTAAAATGTCTCCCAGTACTTGATCCAGGAGTTCCCTTGTCTTCTGGATAGGGTTCAAAAATTGCAAGGCTTCGGAGTTGAACATTAGTATTCGGAAGCGCAAAATTGGATCGACTACTCAACGACGATTATAAAATCAGGTGACTACTTACGAATCCCAGCGGTGACTGGTTGGCACGAATTGACCACAAGCAATTATGAACTTATGTACGTACATATGCATACCTGCCAACTTTTAATCCTTTCGGGGATGGTTTTCCCCAGTGGTAGTAAATTCGAATTTAAATTACAATTCTAGGCCGAAACATATGCTGTCTTTGGATTAAGCTTAAGTGGACTGACACGACAGTATTTTATATTAATATATATGCTTAAATTTTTTTAAAAACAGTGGTGGTCAAAAAGATTTTAAATTAAGTTTATAAATGCANTTGTCTTCTGGATTGGGTTAAAAATTACAAGGATACGTTGGTGAACATTTATTAGTCTTAAACCCAAAAAATTGGATCGACTATTCAACGACGATTATAAAATGAGATGATCTACTTACGAATCCCAGCGGTGACTGGTTGGCACGAATTCTGCTCCCGGCACGCACTGACCACAAGCAATTGTGAACTTATGTACGTACATATGTTTGATAACTCAAGGATGAAAAAAAATTCTCAATCAGTACTAACACAGTGCAAGCGGGTCACTGAAAAATACGTTTATGAAATTTTTACAATCCATATAAAGGTTTAAAAAATGGTATTGAAACCAATTCGTCTGCGTTCTGTATTTCTAACGAATTATTCATTCGTGATTAATGCAAACACATAGGGCTAAAAGTCGATGTATATCAAGACGGAAAAGAGTAAAAACTGGTAACAAATAAATTTCATTTTTTTGCTTTTTTTCGAAAACAATAAAATATCCAAACTACCAATATTTTTCAACGGATACAATTTATATATAAAATTGCTTCGTCCCGGAGATTAAATAATTATATGAGAATTACTTACCACTATAAATATATATTGACTCCTCCCGAGAGTTAATTAACATTGAAATAGTACTACTGTCAGTAAGTTTTTTTTTTTAATTGAAGTTGTAGCTATAGTGACAAGTTTGTTCCAATTTTTATGAAATTTTTCTTATTTTTATCTTATCTACTTAAATTTTAATCTATAACTACGGTAGTACATTTTTTTCAAAGGTTACTTACATGCAACGTGTTAAAAAATTATATTAAGCATGAAAACAGATATAGTAAAATCCTACCTCGGAGTGCAGGCATATTCCTTAATAAAACAGACCATCCAAAATGGAAACCACTTTCATCGGTTAAACTTAAACAAGCACTACTGCCACAAAGCAATCCCAAAATCTAAATCACTGAATATTGGAATAAAACCAATTCAGCGTCGTAAGTAGGTACATAGGCCAATATATTGCGGATGTTTCCAAATTTTACTCCTACCAAATAGACATCTCCCGCAGCTTTTCTGTCACGTTCAATTTTTTTTCTTCTTTTTCATTATTATTTTTGGGACATTTCACACCAACGCTCTGTTCTCTATTCACAATTTACTGACCGAACTTTTGAAGAAGTTTGTCGATACCCACACGAAAAATCCAACCTTGTGACCCAGACTTGGAATACGCCTTCATATGAAGTGTTTTAAGTAATGAAATTTTAACAGCCTTGAATTAAGTTCGATGACTTTGTCAAACGTTTGCGTTGCTCATGAAATGTTTGTTTATGAAAAAGACGTTAACAAACTTTGATTCTAAAAAATAAAATTTTATTTGTTTAGATTGTAGAGGGTAAAACAATGAAAATTAAAAGTTATAGAGCCGTTAATTTAGCTGCACTATCTTAATAACCTTGATTTAGGTTCGATGATCTTGCTAAACGCTACTTCTGCTTATGCAATGTTTGTTTATGAAAAGAAAACAAAACTTTGAGTCCAAAGAACAAAGTTTTATTTGTTTAGATTTTAATCGGTATAACATTGAAAACTAAAAGTTATAGTGCCGTTACTTTAGTTATATTATTTAATCAACCTTGATTCAAATTGGTGGACTTAGTTAAACTTTAGTGCTGCTTATGCATTGTTTATTTATGAAAATATGTTAACAAAGCTTTGATTTTAAAAAATGAAACTTTATTTCTTCAGATTTTGATGGGTAAAACAATGAACTTTCTGAACCGTTAGTGTTGTTTATGCGATATTTATTTATGAAAAGATATCAACAAAATTTTGATTGTTAAAAATAAAATTTTATTCGTTAGATTTTGATCAGTATAATTATGAGAACTATACGTTATACAACCTTTAATTTAATTATAGTATTTTAGCAACTTTAATTTAAGATTGATGATTTTGTTAAGCATTAATATTGCTTATGCTATATTTATGTAGTAAAAGGTGAAGACAAAGTTTTGAATTTAAAAATAAGATTTTATTTGTTTAGGTTTTGGTTGAAATATTTTCATGAAAACTGTTTATTTATGTTTCGTTGTGAAAATTTAACTTTTATAGCCCTTAGTTTAGCTATACTACATTACCAACCTTTGTTAAACGTTAGAGTTACTTATGCAATATTTATTCATGAAAAGATTTTAACAAGACTTTGATTTTAGAAAAGGAAAATTTTAGGTTTTTCTCGATTTTGATCGGTATAACAATAAAAACTAAAAGTTATAAAGCCCTTAACTTAGTTCTACTATTTTATCAGTTTTGATTTATGTTCGATTACTTTGTTAAACGTCAATGCTGTTTATGAAATATTTACTTATGAAAAGATTTCAACAAAATTTTGCTTTTGAAAAAAAATTTTTTTTTTCTAGATTTTGTTTGGTTTAGCGATGAGAGCTAAAAGTTTTTGAGCCCTTGATTTAGTTATACTATTTTAACAACCTTCATTTAAGTTTGATCACTTTTTCTAACTTTATTGCTGCTTATGCAATATTTGTTAATGAAAAAATTACAGCAAATCTTTGATTTAAAAAATATTTGTTTAGATTTTGATTTGGTATAATTATGAGAGCTAAAGTTATATAGCTCTTAATTTAGTTATACTATTTAAGCAACCTTGATTTAAGTTCGATAACATTTATAAATGTACGTTTTGGTTATGCAATTTTTATTAATGGAAAAATATAAATGAAACTTTGATTCGAAGGTGTCAAGCAAAATTTTTAGTTCTTTATGAGAATACATACGCACGTTCAGAGTTATTCAAGATTTACAGCAGCCGTAATAATTGTAAAATGCAGGATGTTCTAAGAAAATATATATCCCTATGAAAATCTCCTCTATGTATACATGTAAACTTAAAGTAGTACCTAAAAACATTTCTATCAAACATAACGTGTACTTACAGTTGTGTGTCCCGTAGGAACCACAATTTAAAAATGTTTAATGCTTATTTAAAAATGCTAAATGTTTAATACTACGTTCTTCATGAAAATTCAGAGAAATGTGTTAGACGTCTTTTCATATAACAGCATCATTTCATATAACGACGGAGCCTTCGAAAAAACAGCCTTTCACTACATTTTTCATGAGCAATCTGGTCTGATGATCATTCTGCATTGTTTTTCATTACGTTTTTCATTATTTTTAGTCGTCAAATTTGTCTTAAAATTCAGTGATTAATAAATTCAAAAAAAAAAAAAAAAAAAAAAAAAAAAAAAATTAATACTTTTTTGCTAAAGTGTTATAAATTTCTAAATAGCCGATTAAAACAAACTAATGGCTCGAAACGTTTAATAACAACATAATAAAATAGTGTTTTCCCATCCTTCAGTGTGACCTCCATCGAAATGTGTTAGATGCGTATCACTAATCTTTTTATTAGATGACGCATATAAACTTAAATGAACTGGAACATATCACCGTTACACATTTTTTGGCAGTTCAGTTTCATTATTCTTTAATTACCTCCATTAAATTGAAGGAATAAAAGATTACGAACAACTTAATTGTTTGAAAACAATTAGGTTATAATTTAGTCGGAAGTTAGAGTGGCGTTTGTTAATGATTGATATTATTTCTTTTTAATAAAGGGAATTATTTTTTTGTTTTGTATTTAATAGCTCAACTGTTGAATGATATTAATTTAAAATGTTAAGGAGGCACATTATATATTTTCAAGCTTCCCAGTGCTTAGTCAAAAATTTAAGATGATATTAACGATGTAATTAGCGGAATACAGTCATGATAGATAATTTAAATTATAAAATATGTTTTTATCAACACTTTTTTAATTATTTCAATAATTAACAACAAAGTGGGAGAAAATTACTTAAATTTTAGAAACTGCTAAATTTGCATTTTGATGATTGGTTTACTACCACATAAATACTTTGGCGAACCATTGGAGCCTTGGTTTGTCAAGCATACTTTTAAATGGATAAATTTTTTTTTTTAGTTCTCAGTGTTTGATAAGTAAATGTATGGAAACTATAATGTTCCGTAACACTATCTAAAATAGTTTAATTAAATAGAAAAAAATCTCGTTTTTTTAACGTTTTATATAATATAAAATTATGATATTTAAAATATAAACTTTTTTCAAATAAAAATATAATTTAATTTTGAATAAAAATATCCGTTATTAAAGTTGCTTTGAGTTAAATTAGTTTTTAAGCAAATTTAAAAATTATAATTTGAATTGCATTATATTCATTTATAAAATTAATTTATTTCTAAAATACTTGAAGCAAAATCTAAAATTAAGTTCTTAATTTTCTAAAGTTAAAACAAAGCAATACGTTTAAGATATCAATTAAATAGGAACCAATTTTGTTATGAACTTTTTAAAGAAAAATAAAGACTGCTAACTCAATTATTTCGTCCTTGTATTTTATTTTGAAGAAATTAGAGATTCATGTTCAGCATAGTTTATTAATGCTAAAAATATACAGTGAGCCAAAAAAAGAATAATAATAAATTAAAATGGACCACCCTGAATAACTTTTGATCTAATCATCGGATCTTCAAGTTCCAATCTTAATAACTTGAGGGGGGGGGGATCTCTAAGCTAATTAATGAACGTAGACGATATTTAAAGTTACGAAACCAGGTACAAAAACTTATTTTCTCGGAATGAACATACCTTTTTTCCGCTGAATTCGAATTTCTGAGCCTCAAAATAAGGAAAAGCTGCTATCTGGGAATATGATTCCAATAGTTTGGTCAGGAGAACAGCCCAAAGCTTGGGCCCCTTAAAGTTAATTTTACATTTTGCGTATTTTATTATATCTTTAAAACGTTTTATTGAAAAATATTTGCACACAATTATAACATTCGTTTATCCAAAGATTATGCGAAAAATAACTTTTAATAAATATTTCATTTAAAATTGAAAAATTGTTGAACTAATTGATATAAAATTTCTCACATGAATATTTCCAGAGAAATTGAATTTTTAATATGTGACTTTTTTTTTGAAATTCAATTTCTCTTAAGCTATTCGACCGATTTCGCTCAAATTTTATATTTTGCAATGTTAAATTATATTTTTTTAAATGATGTGAAAATTGTATACTTTATAATTCAAACTTTTTCCAACCATTATTAAAAAAAATAATAAATATTTACTAAAAGATTCATTTTGCATAGTATTATCTTTGGATAAACGAAATTTATACTTGCGTGCAGAAATTTTTCAATTCGTTTAAAAATTTCGATTTCGTTTAAAATGCTCCTGACCAAACTAATGAGACCATATTTCCCAGATTGCGGCTACCTTTTATATTTTCGGAGTCAGAAATCCGAATTCCGTCGAAGAAAAGGTATGTTTATTCAAAGGAAGTACGTTTTTGTGTTTGATTTTTTAACTTAAAATATTGCCTGCACTTATTAATTAGAATATTTGAAAAAAGTCCCCTCGAGTCATTAAGATTCAGTCCTAGAACATGAAAATTCGATCATTAGGTCGAAAGTTATTCAAGGTTGTTCGTTTTTATTTTGAACACTGTACATAGAAGTCGATATGAAATTATGCGATTGCGATATTTAAAAAAAAAAATCAAGTCAATATTAGAAAAGTAAAAAAATAGTCAATGCTAGAAATAGATTAATCTAAGTATAAATGTTTCACCATTTTTTTTCTTATTAAATGCTTTTTACGTCAAAATTAAATTATGCTTCTTTACAAGGGTAGTTTTAAATAAGTCAAGTCTGAGGAAAAAAAATCGATACGATTGGTCAATAAATCGATACGATCGATTTACGTGCTGAGAAATTCCTTTCATAAAAAATATGGTTGTGGCAGGAAAACTGCCTTTAAAAAAGAAAAGAAAATCGTAGACATTTGTATTAGAAAAAAGTAAATAATTTCTTACATCGGCTTTTACATTTAGCTAAAAAAAATTTATTAATTCCATCTCTTTTTTTTTAAATGTTTTCTTCTAATTTTGTTAACATTTTCTTTTTTTTTAATGTAAAGAGTTGTAAACAAATGTCGCATTCCTGGTATTTACTTCGCAAAATTGAGATAGTCAAGTTGAGCTATACTATTAGTTTAAATTTTATTTGAAAGTAATTCGACAGAAAATGTGATGGTTAATAAAAAAAAAATTTCCACTTTGTTAAACCAAAAATTCGACAATACTCATTTT